TTGGAAAAGAAGTAGAATTGGTTGAGGAAGTTTCGGATATCGATACAGCACAGGGGATACATTTGGGAGAAGGGAAAAACATATGGGAATCTGGAAGCAGTTAGAAAGATATTCAATAAAATACGATGTATAAATTTTGTTACAACGAAGTGGACGTACGTTTGCTCCTCGCGTGGCTTCTCCGGAGTATACCAGCTAACATTGAGGACCTTGTCGTACTCCTCAATGTTCTGGATTGGCATGGGCATGTAGTCATCTGTTGACACAATCTGGCAGAATACGACATATAAGCATTCAACTATGGAGTGAAAACGTTGTAGATATCCATACCTCCTGGAAATCATCACTAAATCTCTTCTTGAGAAGTTCAGCGTATTTCCTAAACAGGGTTATGAGGAAATTGTCGAATACTCCAACTGGGAAGCCCCAAGTCTATCGTGACCGGTCAGAAGACGAATGAATGTGGACACAAGGAGCATTCTTACATCCATAGCTTGCATGAACAAAACGATCAAGTTCTTAATTTTCAAGATATTTTCCGCGTTGTCGACTGCATCCAGTGCCTTCGAAATAAGGGTAACGGCGCCCTGACACATGGAATCCCAAAGCTCATCCACCTGTACAAAAAAGAAAAAAAATCGTCAGCATATAAATCCACAATATCTTCATCAGGGCAGTTCACACACATCAACAGAAGACCTCAAATCCGGAATCTTCTTCATAGTCGATCTCTCCACAATGGCAAACCCCGCAATCTCCTCCAGCAACGTATGCAAACTGGCCCCATCCTCATCCACCAGCTCAATAACTGGAGGCAAGAGTAATTCCTTCTGCCTCCGCCTCGTCGTCGCATACTCACCCCGAAACCTCTCCATCTGCCCCAATGACTGATGGATATGCAAACATTCAAACAGCGGCGTGAAATCAACCTGCAAGTCATCATTCTGCAAGAGATCGAACTCCTCATGCTCATCCGAGACAAGTTCGACAGGAGAATTGAGCTTGAACTGTCCGAAATACGGATTCAGCTCTGCTCGCTGCTTCTGTCGCCTCTTTCGTAGGTCCGTATGGTATAAGGCGATCTCCCCGAGGTACTGAGACATTTCTCGAATGCGGTACAGCCAGGTATTCAGATCTGCCATGACAGCTTCCGCGATGGCCTTTTGCGTCGCTGGGACAGAGCGCTGGATCATCTCTGCAATTTTGTACTGCGTGACGGAGCGCAGGTGTACGTTTTCGAGTTCGTCGAGGGCGCGCAGGGCGGCATAGTGACTCTTTTTCATCAGGAGGTCATTTACCTGGTTCGCCAGACGGAGGACCTCGAGACAATCCTGCAGAGCGCGAGAGGTGTCATCGATATTCTGTCTGTGGCTCCGTGATTCGACGAGTGCCTTTTTCTGCTCCGCAAGACGTTCTGTGCTTGCCTGGATGGACTGGTTGAGGTCTAGAATTTCGGAAGTGAGGGAGACGGTTCCCTCGCGGACGAGGAGGAGCTGGTTTACGGAGGCGACGAACTCTTGGTGGTTGGAGGTGCAGTTTTGTTCTATTTCTGCTTCGCGGTCCAGAGCGAATTTGGAAAGGGATTGGAGGAGTTGGGAGGTGCGGTTGCCGTGGCTGTATTCGCGGATTGAGGGGATGAGTTGGTCAAGGTAGTCAGCGTCAGAGGGGGAGATGACGATCTATTAATAAATGGTTTAGAGACTAGGTATTTAAACAACAAGATTAACATTTGGGTATAGACGGACTTGGTTGAGAATATAGGACGGGTTCCTAGGGGAAGGAATGGCGGAAGGCATGGCTGCGGAAATCCGGTGCGGAGATGGAGCGGAGGTTTGATATGTGCTGGATTATAGATAGGAGATCATTAAGACATGATAATCAGATAAAGGAAGGGAATCTGAACAAGGGACAGAGCCCGCTATGGCCATTGTATGGCCATTGAATATTAATATACAGGAAAATGCAGGTGTTGAACATATTTAAATATATTTTCAATTGTGACGCCTATCTTGACTATGGAAAATATCTCGCTCACTAACTAATTTCTACTCTAGCGATTGTTGGATGCTTGGTTCCAGGGCGGTGAGGTGGCAGAAACAACTCCTGGTCCCATGACACAGACAAGGCGATGGCCAAAGGCGGCGGAGAGCGGCACTAAAACAAAATCCAGCTTGACTCTTCCGCCGCCTTCGGTTTCAGGTTAGTTATTATTTATCAACTCAGAGGAATATGTCCTCCGCTCCATAAATCGGTGGCTAATTCTCTCCAACGAAAAAGCGTCCAACTACCTGTCTCTCGTCCTTTTCGTTTTGATAAATAGCTGCCTCTGGCTATTAGTTAACTGACTAGTTAACTCGTTAATAATTACCGTGCAGTTCCAACGGGATAAACACCACCATCGTAAGCCTGCCAGGGACTGAGATATTGCTCCCGTCAAGAGACCACTGCTTGTGGTGATGTCTTCTCTCTCTAATTCTTCTCCTCAACGGGTTAGCATGCATCTATTTCTCTAATTTCTGTTCTCTTACTCCTAGCTTCCTCTAGCTAGTACCATTGCTCTTCCAACGGTATCTCAGAGTTACCCTTGATACATACCCCTTTCAAATGGAGGACTGATAACGCGCCCCCTTAAGAGACTGCTACTGCTTGCCGATGTCTATTCTACATCTGATCTCTCTCTCGGGGAATAACAGCGTGTACATACCGAGTCTGTTTTTCATTCCGGATTCCCTAATAGCTACCTCCAGCTAATTAGGATGCAGTTTTCTCCTGAGCAATAGTTACACAGGATGATACCCGCACTTTATCTCTTCTCCCCTTTTCAACGGACGGATGATGATTCAGGAAATGCCTGTCGCGTCAAGAGAGGCCTTTACGGGCTGTATCTCCCCGCTGGCGGCTACGCGGACTTTGATGCGTTTGGTCCATAATATTCCTTTTTGGCGCGTAGAAGTGCCTTCTCTTAGAACTTGAGTGGCTATCCATATATATATACCATGTGTCCCTATTTAGTCCATCATCTGTATAATACAATGCCATGGTGGTGGTAGTCATGCTTACTATACCCTTTTCTTTGAGAGATGTAAATGACATTGACTCAGCATGTCTATCAATTCTACTCTCTCTCTCTCTCTCTCTCTCTCTCTCTCTCTCTCTCCAGCTCCAGCTCCAGCTTCAATGCCGTGCAAGAAAGAGAATAACCTGTGAATTTCTTCTCATATGCTGTCTGAGAGGGGGTTTTTCCTCAGATGACCCCCCCTTCTTCATTCACTTGCATACTACCTCCTGCTCCCACCCTGCCTCCTCCTGCCTTCAAACCACACCCTCCTTTTTCTTCTTTTTGCTTTTCTTTTCTTTTCTTTTCT